AAACAAAAAGCAAAGCTAAGCCTATTTCATCAATCCGAAGACACACCAACTTTCACCTGTTTAGCATCTCTGAAATTGGAGTTCATCTCACTGTCAACGGCATGTGAGGGTTTAATTGGCAGCTTTTCCTTCATGGCACAAAGCATAGTGGTGTGTTTCCCTACTGATGTGTTTGATGGCTGAGAAAATGTGCCGCACCTCTAGAGTGACTCAGAAGGTCTAAAGGAAAAAGATGATCCCAAACATCCAGGAAATACAAATGAAAAGAAGGGGATCAAATATTACCGCGTGGCTGCTGCCTGCGGTGAACTGAGGAGCGGGACGTCAATCACCTTTCACTCCCTAGTCCACGTAACGCGCGTGAGCAGGGAGACCACCAGAGGTGGTCCAGCAGAGAGCAGAAGCGGGCAAAGAATGGGGGTATCCACCAGATGGCAAACCCAGTCCTGAAATCAGGCTTTGACACACATCTACGTCTCCTCACACGACACGCCCTGGTAGATATAAGAGCCCAGAGAAGAAGGGAAAGAAACTATGAACAAACCAGAAGAAGGAAAGCTACCGAAGATTTAACCGTGGGCGTAAAGATTTGACTATGAAATTGTCTTACTCTGTCTTTGGCCTCCCCGTTTACCCCTTCCTTGAGTGCCGAGAGCCACCGTGCCCGGGCCTCCCAGGCTCAGTAAACCCGAAGTTCTCCCCAAAGGGACTGACATTCACAAACCTGGGGAAAATATGAAGCATGTTTACAATGCAAAGCTGGGATGTTAGTATCTAACTGCTTTCTTGAGGGAGAAGTGGCCAAACAATCTGTTTAGACAGTTGTTTAAAAAAAAAAATCCACCCACATGAAATACTCTGCAATGCCAGCTTTTCCCTTTACCCAAATGCTCTTTACTGAAGGAATCCTCACATTCCTCTCTTGGCTTTTAATCACAAAGTCAGGGAAGGTGACACCCGCGGGATGTGTTTCACCGGGAGCAGCACGTGCCAGGAAAGAAGGCAGAAGAGATAGGAAAGCAAAGGGACAGCGAGTGGGGAAAAGAGGTGAGTGCCGGGAGTCTGAAGATGTCTCTGGAAAACAAGTGAAGCCCAGCAGAAGAAAAACGGTCACTGGCAGGAAAAGCCAAGGCAAGTCCCTGCAAAATAATCTGGCCCCTATTTGACCAAACCCCAAAACGAGATGAACCAACGCACCTGGCTGCTTAACTGACAACCCCTACAAATCCAGAAGGAAAACATTACTGGAAGGGCAGGTGAAGAAAAGCTCATTAAGTCCTGTTCTAGTCCTCCTCTCCTCAATTACACGTGTGTCCCTCTCTGCCCTGATTCATGCCCGAGGGCATGGGTGTTGTCCACTGCAACTTCCCGAGGCTCGAGTGGCAGCTCCGACCCCAGTGTTCTTTCCCAACATGCCCTGCATCCATCATTTGTGGGCACCCAGCTCTGCCCAAGCTGGTCTGGTCACAGGTGTCTGCGCTGACCCTGAACCACGCTCCCTGTATCAAGGCTGCAAGTGAGGAACCACCCAGGACATGAGACATCAGTACCCTGCCCCTCAAGACCATGTTGAGGGTCCAGAACCCGCCTCCAGCCCAGACTCCCAAGCAGCCCAGCCCTCTCCAGCTCTGGTGCAGCCCCACCTGCCTCTTCATGTAGAGTCTGAGACGCGCATCCAGACTTGGGAAACCAGATGCCCACCTGCCTGCCCCATCGATCATGGCCTCCATTGACATGTTGGGGCGGATTTAGTCACCAGGATGGAGGAGGACTGCGTAACACGAGTTGATCAAAAAGCCAAGTTACTTTATTCATTTTAGCTACAAACCTCTCTGTACACAGAAGTTAACTGAAGCATTTCAGCCCAGTACATCTTAGAGATAACCTCGGAGACAGGTCTAGGAGCCCGAAATGCGTAGGTGGGAGCAGAGGAACACTCAAGTGATTCTGGACCTCCGTCCAATTGCTTGAACGTGGCTTCGGGAAGCAACACCTGCAGACAGAGGTTCCAAAGCCGACACATTCCCCGGAAGAGACAATAAAAAGCTACAGAGGACGAGATGCTGCAAGACCACAAATTAATTTTTCACTCAGAAAAGGGGCAGAAGGAAAAAAGTCAGCGCAGGGGTCAGAAAGCAAAGAGACTTCGAGAACAATGCACACGGATATCAGCTGTGCTGGGGGGTCTGCGCCTCCTTGCCCCTAAATATCTAAGGGAATCCCTGACAGAGGTTTGCACTGATGAGATTTTGATTTCCGTCAACCCAGCCTGGCACTCCTTGGACAGAACTGTTATGTTTTATCAGCAGGAGTGAGGCTGCTATAGCCACTGTCAATCTGGAGAGCCCTGAGGCTCTAAACAAATGCATTTTGTGGTGACACCCCCAGGGTCACCCTCTTCTCTGATTCTGCCAGCTTGAGCTTTTGGAATTCTGTTTTAACTGCAGGCAACTATGATGCTTTGGATGCAGGAAGTCATTCTATTTTTTTTTTTTGGCCCAATGTGTGGCATAGATTTAAAAGACATAGGCAGAATGCTTTAAAACCTAAGGGGCTTAAAAAAAAAAAAAACCTAAGGGGCTGTGTTATATGGAATATAACTTTTAAAAGGGTTAAGAAGACAAGGAAACAAAATAAACCTTGTGATGCCTCAGGCTCTCTATTCTCCAATCTTCAGCCAAGTTCCTTGGTAAAATGGACCAAAAGGAAGGCAGGATGGACAAACGGGGCTGGGGTGGGGAGACAGGCATGGAAGATACACAGGAGGTTGCTCAGTGGGTGCTGTAATGTCCGGAGATACTGCTCGGTCTCCCCTCCCAACAGAGAGTCCCCATTTCAACCTGCCACATCTGAAATTCCATCTGAGCTTTGTCCCTCCAGACCCTGGAAAACACCAGCGACACAATGAAAATTTGGGGAAAAAATTTGAAATTTGCTGGAAACCAGCTCTGAAAAAAGATATAAGGGAATACTATCAGGAATAAGAAAATGGTTCAAGTTTATATCTGCCGGTGAAAGGTTCTTGGGATGAGTCCATTCGGTTGCAGAAGCTAGAAGCATGATCCAGTGTGAGAGGGATCACAGGAAACCTGAAAAGCACCCAGCCTAACTGATCTGTGCCCAAGCTCCAACAGGCTCACTGAGGCTCAGTCCAGACCAGGAAAAGTCAGGGGGCTCAGAATCAGAGTCCCATTTCCAAGTGGAGAAGGAAGAGGGAAGGGAAAACCAGCTTGGGTGTCTTCCTCTGTGCCTGAACACACACATTTCTTCCAGCCTGCATCCTGCACCTGAACTTTATTTTGTTATAAAAAAACATCGATAGAACAATTGGCAAAATTTAGTAACGTCTGCAGATGAGGAATAGGACTGTATTTGTGTTAATTTACTGATTTTGACCACTGTGCTGTTATTACAAAGGAAAGTGTGCTTTTTTTAATGAAATATACACTGAGGTACAAAAAGGTAAAGATATATCAAGTCTGAACCTTACTCTTAAGTGGCTAGATTTTATACTATACTTATATTTAGAAAGAGGATATAAAGCCAATGTCATAAAATGTTCACATTTGGATAACTGGAAGATACATGAGAATTTTTCATACTATTCATGCAACTTTTCTGTAAGTCTCAAATTGTTCCCCAAAAAAGTAAAGAAGAAAATAAAACTTGGCCTGAGAAAATGATGATGTGAGCAGGACAGTGTTCCTGACCCCAGTTTGGAGGGCCCAGGACCTGCCGGGGGGTCTGTTCTGAACGAAGAACCCCAGACATCAGTCACAGAGGGAAGACCCACCTCTGGTCTTGACTTTGCCATAGCTGGGCCGCCTCAGGCAGGTCACTTAACTGCTCTGAGCCTCAGCATCTCATCCAAATGATGGGCATAATATCTACTTGGTGATGATTTCAGAAAATGTGTAGCAGAAGCCAAATACTGATAGCCTCAGAGCTTAGTAAATGATGCTGGGAATTACAGAAGGAAACCCAAATTACCCAGGGACAATCTCCTCTGGGAAACCAACATCCCTCTCTTAACCCTGGTGAAAAGGGGAAAGCATGGAACAGACTCTCACTCATAGCCCGGCTTTACTCTCCATCGCCCAAACTGCCTCGTTTCCCCTTAGTTAACTGAACCTCGGGCAACAGAGCTCAATGAGGCTTCTCCTCAGCTCTTAATTCTAATGCTTTATCATTATATACGACATGACCAATCTCAAGCTATTTTTCACTTTTATCATTTAATTTAATCCTCACTAATATCTTTGTATCTGCTTATCGATTAAACCCTCCTTCAAAAGGATCCAGGCATCATAAGGGAGTTTGTTATTATCTCTAGCTTCTTGGTAAAGAACTAGAAATGCTTCTCCTGTGCACTCCAGAGAAGCTCTGTGCGAAGAGAACGCCCACTGCAGCGAGGCGGGAGTAGGAGGCACCGGGCGTGTCCAGCACGAGAGGGTACGCAGTAAAACGTGGAGGACACACATCACAGGCACGATTAGAAATAGTGGACTAGATGCTGCACAGCGATGGACCGTAAAACACAACACTGGGTGCAAAATTCACAAATGGAACAGAATGTAGACTGTGATGCAGTGAGTCTAAAAGGAGTTCCACAGTACTCACATAAACAGGCTAACCAGTTCAGAGGATGTTCTATTCTAATTGGTAAAATAGAAATAAAAATGTTCCCCCAAAAAGCAGGGGAGGGTATAGCTCACTGGTAGAGTGCATGCTTAGTACGCATGAGGTCCTGGATTCAACCCCCAGTACCTCCAATTTAAAAAAATTTTTTTATTTAAAAAAAAAATATGTCCCAAGCTATGTGGGGAGAGAGGAAGGGATACATGGAGAAACACTTGGACAAACGGAGACCTAATAGATAATGAACAAATGGGTGAATTTAAAGGAGGAAAGCAATGACTGGCAGACAGACAGACACACCCCTACCCCCGCCCCGCCAGCACTCATCTGCAGACCCAGGCAAGCCCCCTGGGAGGCCTTACCTGAGGGCCCTGGCCGGTGGCTGGGCTGGCCCACCTGGTGCATGCTCTGCTGGAGCAGGCTGAGACACTCCCCGAGGCAGCTGAGGGTAGCAGCAGAGGTAGCTTTCAGGAGCAGCAGGTCCTGGTCCAAGGCAGTGAGGGGGCCGGACCCTGGCAGAGACTCGATGGCGTGCACAAGGTTCTTCTGCTGTCCTTCCACCTGGTTCATCATCTATGGATGGGAAGACAGCGAGGAGGAGAGAGTCAGAAGTCCTCCCTGCGCCGGGTGGGAAGCCAGCACCGAGACCACGCGGGTGGATGTGAGTGACAGGAGAGTGTAAGAGGAACCGTCATCACCTGGATGACAAGCCACGTGGAGGCGGCTCAGCAGGCATCTGGGGCACGTCCGTCCTCTGATGATGCAGACTCAAGTGAAATCCATCTGGGTCAACATACCCCCAGGCACACATCTGCCGCTCTGATCCCAAGAGAATTTTAGAACTTTGGAGCTGGAAGGGACCACTGGGGCCATCTGGGTGTGTCATTCTACAGACCTCCCAAAGGTAACAAATAAATACACTAAAAGAAGAAGTCTTATAACCATCTTTAAGGTCCGTGGAGTATGGAAGGTCATCGGAGACGGTGGCTGAGCGTGGCTTGGCCTCAGAGCAAGGTTCATCCCTTGCCTTCCTTCCAGCTCCAATCCATCCCCAATTCCTTGGCAGTCCTACTGGAAGTTCAGGAAATAGAGGTGAAATCTGGGGCTGGCATTTGGAGGCATGAGACCAGAATGAAGCCAGTGCCAGATGACTCCACCCCCAAAATGCTAGAACAGCACGTGACTTCCTTAACATCGTGCACGGCGCCGGGAGGAGGAGAAAATCCTGGAAGTCCAGAGCCAGCCCTGCTCCAGCTGCAGCCATGACAAACCAATAACCCTGTGCTGGGGGCTAGCTTCAGTTCATAAGCTACAGACAAGCAGTCATCCAGCTGTATCTCTGAATGACAAATCGAGGAGAAAGAACTCAAGAACCAGACAAGGACTTTCCCGGTTATCTTTCAAAGTTCATCTCCCTCCTGTTTTACAGCTTATCTCGCAAAACAAGATGATGCACCTACAATGTAAGGCTAGCAAATAAACAGTCGTGCTGAAGCACGGAGGAGCTAAAGCAGCCCGCCTGAGTCACAGGGTCACAGATCGCAGGTCAGCACCAGAGGCAGGAACCAACTTCTGGTCTCCAGATGCCGGGCCACTGCTTCTTAAGCTTCCCCCACAAAAGTCATCCTTAGATTGAACCAACAGCTCCTACTTTGTCACTGTCATCCCTGGAGGATCCTTGAATTACTATCATGATGCCACCAGCCAGGGAGAAGCAATAATTTTATAAGGACTGCTGGATGTGGACACAAAACTCATCCCATGCTTGGGCTAATTTTTCTGTTTTCTTTTGAAGACAAATATCTGCTATTTTCTACTATTCTGTGTAGTCACCTACTTTAAAAAAACAAAAGCTCCTCTGTTGCAATCCTACTTACCAAAATAGGTGTCATTACTTCAAGAAGATTGTAAAATATCGACATTACTGCATACTCATCCTCTGGCCACGTGCATTACTTTTTGCAGATTACAGAGGTTACACTTTGCCATCTGGCTCCTAAAACAGTACCGGGAGCATGACTGGGGCACAATGAGAAGTCATTTCTCCTTTGATCTTTGCTGAAGAGCCACCTTCTCCAGAAAGCTTCGCAAACCATATAATTTTTTTCATGTATTTACTTTAATTGAAGTAGAGTCGGTTTACAATGTTGCGTTAATTTCTGGTGTACAGCACAGTGATTCAGTTATTCATATACATATATTCCTTTTCATGTTCTCTGTCATTGCAGGCTACAAGGTATTGACTATCATTCCCTGTGCCGTACAGCAGGACCTTGCTGAACCACATAATTTAAAACCGCACGTCCCGCCCAATCTTTGGCACTCCTGTCCTCCTTTACTGACTTATCTTTCCCCAGAGCATTTACCACCTGCCAACCCAACTTAAAATTTACTCGTTTCTTCTGCTCACTTGTGCTAGTGTGAAAGCAGGACCCAGGCTGTATGTGCTGCTCACTGACGTATCCCAAGCCCAGTAAGCAGCTGTGGGATGAATGAAAGAACCCACCACTCGCCCTTCTCTCCCTGAGATGGAAGACACGAAGTCCACAGAAATCATCACACTCAATTAGTACAACGTGGCTGAAGATTTAGTAGACAATAATACTTCCATTATCCACCGAAGTTTGCCAAGAAATGGTTAAATGTAACACGGAAAAACAGAAAATGTGCACATATTCTTTGACAACCAACTCTATGTAGAACTGCTAACATTTAGGGAGAAGTCGATTTCGAGCTATGTGTCGTAGTCAGCATTTCTGTAAATTTCTACCATAAAATCTGGTCTTAGAAAAATGTTGTGTTGAAAGGCAAGAAGAAAACATAATGATGAATCGCATAATACGCTGTGTTCTTGACTATTATGAAGGATGCCATGATGCTTAAGAGAAAAGGTGAGTAAAATGAAACCATTAACTACGGAGTACAGTTGTTTTTAATCAACAGAAGGAATAAAATATTCCAATTATATAGTATAGGATAAATCCTAGTTATTCACAAGCATTAAATATTATGCAAATCTCAGGTAATAAAAACACAAAATTGACTTACAGAATCTCCTACTCTGTTAGGACAGAGGCAGGGGCCAGAGACGGACCATACAGACTTGCTCTCTGAAAAGCATGCAACAGTATGTATCGAGAGCCTGTAGTCAGCACCAGAGGCAGGTCGGCCTTCTAGAGGGGCCGTCTGAACCGGCAGTGGGTGGGCTTGACAGTTACGATGACTGCAGCACAGCTGGCCCTGAGTGGGAGGGGGTGGGGCTGCTACATGCCCCTCAAGTCAGGGCACAGTCCCACACGAGAACTCTCCTGCTCAAAATGCCAACAGCACCCCCAGTCACCCTGTGCCAGAGACACATTGGTCATCAGGCACTGATGGGTTTCTGCATCTTTCTTGGTAAACTGAGAACCAAAAGTTAAGCAAGCCCGGCACAGTGCTTGATACACGGTAGACACCCAGAGATGCACTTTCTCCCCCTTTTCCATGGGATGCAAAACAGGACTCTAGCCTTTAAAAACACAATCGATGTCAACTCTCACTTTGTATCAGCTTCATCAGGCTGCAAAAGAAATGGAGCAAACCCTGAAAGCGATGCGGGGGGCCCCAGCCTCCGTGCCTGCATCACAGTCATCACCGCACCGACGTTTCTGAGACTGGGAGGCACTAGTGGAGAGCCTTCAGCAGACTTGCGAAGATCCAGTGTCGGCTGTCTCCACCACTGAGGTTACTGAAGGGCACACAGGACAGGGTGAATGTGGCGCCAGAAAGCTGTATGTGACAAAAACACCACTGACAAATTTCCAAAGCAGCTCCCTCCCCGTTGCAAGATTCCCACAGGCACGTCAACACAAGAGCAAAGAGGAGCCATCGACCCTCCCAGCCTTTGAACAAGCTGAACCACTAATTACCTAAGTTTCAAGTCAGCCCTCTAAACGCTTCTTCTGAAGCACAACATTAACCACGTGTGGTGTTTTAAAACAAACAGAAAGGCACACATTTCATTTCTTGCTGGCAGAAACTGGCTTCCACAACTGGGGTATCACTATCTCGTAATACAGGTGCAAAACGGGAACCCACTGTGAAATGTCAGAGATCCACCCCCTGAAATGTCAGCTCTGAGGCTGTGAAACAGACTAACCGTAGGTCAAGTCCCACTTCACAGGGAAGGAAAAAATTCTATGTCCCATTTCTCATTGCACAAACAATAGCATATACACTGCAAAATCAAAGCATAGGTTAATGCTAATAAAGTCAGTGGCTGCAGATTTTATGATTTTATTTCAGTGAAGCTGAAACCAAAGCTGAAGGCAAAGACCAAAAAACTCAATGGCATCAGCTCAATAAGATGCGATCGGCTAAAGAGAGAACGGGAGAGGGCAGCAAAGAGGCAGGGGCTTCGCTCACCCTGATCGCTTCAGACTGTTCTGACCTGCAAACCTTGGTGCAGATTCTGAGGCCTGGGAAAGGTCCAAACCTGACAGCCCAGACATCAGTGAACACCAGCTCCTCATCCATCCATCCATCCATCCGTCAATAACCAAAGCACCAGCATCAAGCACCTCGGGAGCACAGCCTTCTTATCCTGACGTCACCAAGGCTGCCTGCCTTGCTTGGCAGAGCCTCCTGGGCTCAGAGACTCTCCGGTGCCTTCAGTAACTCAGTCTGTCCTGATGGAAGTAGACCAAACAATTTGATGCCACCTTCAAGGTGGCCTTGGTTTGGCCTGTCTCCTCAGCCTGGCGGGCTTCCAGAGCCCCTCTACGCCTCCCCTCTGGGTCAGGGATCAGTCCTTGGCTAACTCAGGCACTTTCTTCACCTGGGCTTAAAAGCCGGGCTTCCAAGATCTTAGAAACAAAACATACACTCTGTCACCCACCCCCTCCCTCACCCTGCCCCTTCACACAGCTTACTGTCTCCATTAAAACAGATTTACTATTCCACTACTCCCATTAGCATCACTTTAATATTCCTGGAGACTCCCACCCCAGAAATGAATTGATAGCTCGTTACAGAAGCTTCCTGAAATACCCATTAACTCTTTAATGGAAAGCATCAGCATACAGCGCACATCCTAAGACTGGCTACCGCCTTGCCTGCAAATCCTTGCCTTGGTGTTTCCACCAATCCTGAGCTGCTGTATCTTGTTTACCTAATCCTAACCAAGTCCCTGTAACATAAACCAAACTTCCAATTCTCAGCTTCTGGTGCTGCCCGCCCGGCTGGGAGATGCTGCCCTGCGGAGGTACTATTTCCCTCACAGTGTGAATGAACCGTCAAGTCTCTGCCCTGTCAACAGATGGCGTTGTTGACATCTGGAGAGCTGACATTCCCATCTTTGCAGCCTTTCTCCAAATTTCTAGGTGTCAGGACCCAGGAAGTCCTGACCCCATGTAAACAATTTCTTCTTGCCGATATGCTTACCTGACTTTCAACCTTCAACCTGCACTTCCTGGGCTTTGTCTGTTGTTCCAGCTCATGGCACAACATCAACCTGGAATGTTAACCTGACAAGACCTTCCTTGAGGCGGGATCCCGGGTCCCCCTGCAACCGCTGTCCGCACCTGCAAGCACAT